GGTGACAACTGTAAATTTACAGATCCAAGAAGCTCAGAAGAATAAATACAAACAAAGCCATACCTAGACACATCATAATCAAACTGCTAAAATCCAAAAAGAAAGAGGGAATCTTAAAATCAGCAAGAGAAAAATTATACATTATCTACAATGAAACAATGATATAAATTTGACTGACTTCTTATAAACAGTGGAGGTTAGAAAACAACAGAACATACTCTGGAAAGTAATCTTGGTCTATTATACATTTTACAATATTTGCTCCCAATTAAAGTTACAATGTAACCTTATTTTCTGATCCCTTTTGTCATATTGAATGTTGATGTAGCTAAATTTTTCTCAAAAATTCTATTTTTGTGTCTTAAAAAAACCATTTCTTGAATCCCAATATGAAAATATGTTATCACATATTTCTTTTTATTTGTTTAAATTTTTATTTTTATATTAGATCTTTATTTTAACTTCATTTAATTTTGAGTGAGATGGAGCTCTAAATTTGTTTTACTTTTTCCATATGGAGAACCAAATGTCCAAGCACCACCAATAGAGCTTTTATTAATCATTCTTTGTTAAACCCTTTTTATTGTGCAATCTTTTCCTTACTTAGACCTTGACCAATAAAGGAAGTAACAAACTGAACATATCCCTAAGAAAGTTAATCAATATCAACAGTCATTTTGATTTCCCAAATGCTCCCATTGTAAATTTATTATACATTTTTCTTTTTCTGTCATAGATGGTAGTTACATAATTTCTATATGTGGGAACTGGGAAATGTAAATCTAGTTGGAAAAGAAGGCTAGGGTTCTTTGCCTTGAACTTGAGTTTGCATAGCAAGTACATTTTAAAATTAAGATTTCCTGTTTTGAGGAGAAGCATAGAAAGAAGGCTAAAGGAGATTAAACCCTATACACTGGTTTATTTGGTATTTAGTTTGCTTCATTAGAAATTTACTTGCTTTCTCATATTTGAAAACTAATTTGTCACTGAAAATATAAAATAGATATTCAGGATTCTCAGCATGCCAATCCTCTCTACCCCCCAAATTTTTATTTTTCTGTTAATAATTTAACTCTTCATGACTAAGTGAGGATGAAGGGTTGGTACAATATTCACAAATCAATAAATGTGATATATCACATAAACTGAAAGACAAAAATCACATAATCATATCAATAGATGCAGAAAAGGCATTCAATAAAATCCAACACCCATATTTGATAAAAACTCTCCATAAAGTGGGAATAAAGGGAACATACTTCAACACAATTAAGGCCATATATGACAAACCCACAGCTAACATCATACTCAATGGCCAAAAACTACAAGTATTTCCTTTAAGGTCAGGAACAAGACAGTGATGTCCACTTTCACCACTAGAGGCCCAGCGCACAAAATTCAGGCATGGATATGGTCCAATAGCTTGGCCTGCGATCAGGGCCATCTTCCATGGCTGTCCACAGATGGCACTGCCCCCCACTGCCACCCACCCCCGGTTCCTTTTGCCATCTGGTGACTGGAGCCTGACAGTCAGGGGATAGGTCTGAGAGGTCGGCCATTCCTGCCCTCTTGCCGACCCTGCCCCCACTATGTGGGCAACTGGTGGGGTGAGGGTCTTGGTCTTGTGTCACTCACATCCCCTGCCACCCACCTCCGATTTCCCATTCACCATTGGGTGATCGGAGCCTGCTGGCTGGGGAAAAGGACTGAAAGGTGGTCAGTGAGCCTCATAGTGACTGGTCAAGTGGTGGTCTGGTCGTTCCACTGTTTGGTCAATTTGCATATTACCCTTTTATTATATAGGATAATACTGTAAGTGCTAGCTACAGTGATCAGACAAGAAGAAAAAACAAGATATCCAAATTGGGAAGGAGGAAGTAAAACCATTATTATTTGCAGATGACATGATATTGTACAGAGAAATCCCTAAGGACTTCACCAAAAAACTACTATATTTAATAAGTAAATTTGGCAATGTAGCAGGATACAAGATTAATACCCAGAAAATGATGGTATTTTTTATACACCAATAATGATCTCTAAGAAAGAGAAAGTAAAGAAACACTTGCGTTTACCATTGCAACAAAAAATTAAAATAGTTAGGAATAAACTTAACCAAGGAGGTAAAAGACCTGTACTCAGAAAACTATAAGACATTGAAAAAAGAGATAGAAAAATATATAAACAAGAAAAGAATATACTGTATGCATGGATTGGTAGAATTAACATCATTAAAATGTCCAAACTACCCAAAGCAATTTATAATTAAATGCAATTCCCATTGAAATACTGACAGCATATTGAAATACTGACTGGAACAAAAACTCCAAAAATTTATATGGAACCAAAATAATACTCCACATAGTTGCAGCAATCTTGAGAAAGAAGAACATTGAGGAAATCACAATACCAGATATCAAATTATACTACAAAGCCACTGTAATCAAACAGGTTGTTACTTGCACAAGAATAGGCATATAAATCAATGGAACAGAACAGAGAACCCAAAAGTCTATCCAAGCCATCATGTTCAATTAATATTTGACAAAGGAGGCAAGAACATACAATGGAGTCAAGACAGTCTCTTCAATAAATGGTGTTGGGAAAATTGGACATGTACCTGCAAAACAGTCAAATTAGACCACCAACTTATACCATACACAAGAATAAACTCAAAATGGATAAAAAGACTTAAATTTAACCTGTGAAACCATAAAAGTAATAGGAAAAAAATGTAGGTAGCAAAATATCAGACATCTCATGTAGCGGAATGGTCACAGATACATCACCTAGGGCAAGAGAAACAAAGGAAAATAAACAAATTGGAGTACATGAAACTAAAACTCTTCTGCACAGCAAAGAAAACCAGGATCAAAACTGAGTTCACTGTATGGGAGAACATATTTGCCAATGATACAACTGAGGAGTGGTTAATTTCCAAAATATATAAAGTACTCATTACAACTCAGTGAAAGAAGAGGAACGATCCCATTAAAACATGGGCAGAAGACCTGGATATACACTTCTCCAAAGAGAACATATAGAAGGCCAAGAGCCTTCTTGAAAAAATGCTCAGTCACTAATCATCAGAGAGATTCAAATTAAAATGATAATGAAGTACCTCCTTACACCTGCCAGAATGGCTATCATCATTAAGTTAACAAGCAAGTGCTGGTGAGGGTGTGAAGAAAAAGGTAACCTAGTTTACTGCTGGTGGGAAGGCAGACTGACTCAGCCACTGTGGAAAACATTGTGGAGTGTCCTCAAAAAATAAAAAATGGAACTGCCATTTACCCCGTGTTCTCACTTTTAGGAATATATCTTAAGAAGCCTGAAATACAAATCAGAAAGAATAAGTGCACCTCCATGTTCATAGCTAAGATCTGGAAACAGCTCAATTGCCCATTAGTAGATGAATAGGTTAAAAACAACAACCTGTGGTACATTTACACCATGGAATACAGTGTGGCTGTAAAACAGAAGGATCTCTTACCCTTTGTGATAGCAGGGAGGGACCTGGAGAGTATTATGCTAAGTGAAATAAGCCAGGCAGAGAAAGACAAGTACCACATGATCTCACTTATATGTGGAATCTAAGTAACAAAATAAACTGACAAAAAAAATAGATCCAGAGACATTGAAGCATGCAACAAACTAACGTATTTCAGAGGATATGAGGTGGCAGGCACAGGAAGATATTAACCAAAGAACATATATGCATATATGCACAACCCAGACAATAATGAGCTGAAGGCCTGGAGAGAGGGGAAGAGTCGGGTGGTGTGGATCTATTGGGATGGGTGAGTAGGGGACATCTATAATACTTTCAAGCAGTGGTTGGCAAACTCATTAGTCAACAGAGCAGCAAACCTTGGCTCGCATGCCACAATTTGCCCACCAGTGCTTTCAAGAATAAAGCTAAGTTTTTAAAAAAGTAAAACTCAAACAAACTAACAAAAAAAAAAAAAAAAACCAACCCAATTTCTACATTTGGTATAGATATTAATCCAGGTGTCAAAAATAATCTTTGACAAAGGTATAGATTGCTATGCCTCAACTGATATTTGCAAGCAAGAAGCAAAGTTTTATTGTTTTAAAGGAATAATTTATCTGACCCAGTTATAGGCTGACTTGAACCCACATTCCCACCATAATATACATTGTAAGGATGGAATGCCACAACTCATGAGATTTGATTATTTTCTCAGAGAGATAAGAATGAGCAGGAAGAATAACGCTGAATGATCTCATCCAAAGCTTCCTTCAGCAGTGTCTGTGCACTGAGCAATTTTCTGAAAAAGAGTTAGAACACAGCAGCTATTTGGAGAAGTGTGATGAGACTGCATCAATATCGTCCTGAGCCCTGTTTTCATTTTTCTCCCACTTTAACTTTTAAAGCCCAAGCGAATTTGTTGAAAAGCCAGGTCTTTTGGTGGATAGCAACATTAAGCCCTCTACTCTGTCATTATAAGTCCCAGAAATAGCTCCTGATTCCATTGTGTGTTGTCTTCCAAGATAATAATTAACTGATTCTGAGTATTTTTTCCTCAAAGCCTCCTACACTTGCTGACTTTCTCACTAATCACAGTCTTGCCAATTGAAGGCATTGAGTGTATGATTATTACAAGCCTTTCTTCTCCAATTAAACTGGTATACACACACACACACACACACACACACACACTCACACACACACATTCACACTCACACCACTCTACTGTACAGCTGCTGCTGGTTTGCCTTCCTCACTTTTGTCTGGCAATCTAAATTGCTCAGTGCATAGAGCATTGGCTCTTGGACTAAAAGGTCCCAGGTACAATTCCAGTTGAGGCACATACCTTGGTTGTAGTTCTATCTCAGCCGAGTTGGGGCACAGGCTGAGGCAAACAATCGATATGCCTCTCTCTGTCTCTCCTCTCCCTTCTACTTTCTCTAAAAAATCAAAGGGAAAAATATCCTTGAGTGAGGATTAACAACAACAACAAAGCCGCTATACAGATATGCAACAGGGCTCCATGGAATGTGCTACTCAGGAGTTGGGGAAATATAACATACATATAAAAGTGGCCCATATTAAGGAGTTTGACAAGAACAATCGCACCTGGCACTGCATCGTGGGGAGAAATTTGAGTAGTTATGTGACACATGAAACCAAATACTTCATCTACTTCTACCTGGACCAAGAGGCCATTCTTCTGTTCAAATCTGGTTAAAGGCATGGACTATACCACAAACCCAGTGACCCATCCAAAGATGAGTATTGCAGCCTAAATTCCAAACACCTGGAGACTAAAATCTTCAGCCTTGCCTAAAAGAACACCTTGATCTTGAACCTTTATTGTGTTACTAGAGGCCTGGTGCATGAATTTGTGCAAGAATGGGGTCCAGCCAGCCCTTCCTGATCATGCAGAGCCAGCTGGGGAGAGGGGCCATGGGTAGTTGGTTAGCCGGCCCCATCCCCAATTGGGATGGAGGGAGGCAATTGGGGCTATGGCCAGCCAGAGGGAGGGGCCTTGAGCAGTTGGCCGGCTGGCCCTGCCCCCTGGTCTAACTCCCAGTTGAACTCTCAGTTGAACTCCTGATTAACGGGACAATTTGCATATTAGCCTTTTATTATACAGGATTTTCTACAGGACATTCTCTGTACTCATTTGTTGAGATTGTAAAAACAATTAGCAAAATAGCTTACATTTGTATTTACTTTCTATTCCATACCTCTCTGCCCTTTGTTTTTCCTTCTCAAATCCATTCCTTTCTCAAAAGAAAGAAAATTTGTTGAACTGAAAACAACAACAACAAAACCCCTTGCAGGACCTTTAGACTTTTTTACTGGGCTCAGCAATGTTTCTCTCTCTGTGTCTCTCCCCTCCTTCTTAGGGAAGACCACAGCTGCCTTTTGACCTGCAGCCAAAGGTCAAAAGGCAGCTGCCAGGATGATCTGACTGCAGTGTTCACACATATATGCATGGCCCTTCAAGATGTGGGACAAGGGGGAGTAGGGAGAAAAGGAGGGAGGAGGTAGTGGCCAGGACCAGCTCATCCACTCCAAACGTAATTCTCAGGTCATTTTGCATATTTCTCCAGCTGACTACATTGTGCTTATGTCAGATATGGAATTTGAACCACTCTGGATTAGAAGTGTGTTAATGAGAAGAAAGGAAAATGGCTAATATTTATAATAAGAGTTTTAATAAGTTTCACATAATATAATCTCACTCAGTCCTAATAACCATTCTGGGGGTTTTATTGTCTCCCTTTAAAAATTATGAAACCAAGGTTCAGAGAAGCTGAGTTTTGCCCTGGTCTTATAGGATATCAGGGTGAGCATCTTTAAGATTCTACAGCCAACTCTTTCTTTACTCCACTTCTTCCTGGGTCTAACTCAACATCTTCTGGAACATCCATGTCAACTGTTGACAAACAAAAAGTCAGCCAGATATTTCTCCAGCAAATGGGTTAATTCTTGAACAACAATGAATTGCATTCCAGAACATGCAACCATGGCAGGCCCTATGCAAATCTATTATAACAAAAGAGAGGAAGCTTTTATGAGGAGAGGGAGAAGTTGGGAGGGCTATTACAAAGGATTCTCCCTGCTCTAGCCAGTTTGGCTCAGTGGATAGAGTGTAGGCCTGTGGGATGAAGGTCTCGGGTTCTAGTCCCATCAAGGGCATGTACTTTGGTTGCAGTTTTGATCCCTGGCCCTGGTTGGGGCACATGTGGGAGGCAACCAATCATTGTGTCCCACTCACATCGATGTTTCTCTCTCTGTCTCTCACCTCTCTTTCACTCCCTTTAAAAATCATTGGGAAAAATATCCTCGGTTGAGGTTTAACAAAAAAAAGACAGGACTACTCCAACCATGAAGACAGAAGAGAACCAGTCCAGAGATGGAAGACGCTGCCAACACCTTGCCATATTAGCAGACAGCAACTGTGTATCACTGCAGGCTGACAAGGACCAAACCAGAGAGGGTTGGACCTGTATTACCACCATTTGCTCACCATCCAGAACTGAAATATCATTGCTGACATGTACATATAAGGAACTGTTTGACATTGAAATTGGTTCTCAAAAGAACTGTTGGGCCAGAAAGAATCTCACTACTGACTGATTCATATGCCTTTCAGCATAACCATTATTGCTTATCTCATTTTTTATTCTTATATTTCCAGTAGGACATGATCTCACTCATCTGGGGGAAATGGTAAACAACATAGACTGATGAAGAAGAACAGACCCAGAGATAAGGAGCCATGGGTCAGACTGTTGGACCTCAAAGGGAGGGTGGGGATAAAAGGGAGAGATCAACCAAAGGACTTATGTGCACACATATGAGCCTAACCAGTGGTCAAGGACAATAGTGGTCAAGGACAATAAGTGGGGAGGAGTGGAGGATTGGAATGGGGGGGTTGAGGACAATATGTGATACCTTAATCAATAAAGAAATTTAAAAAAATAAAATAAAGAAATTTAAATAAACAAAAAATTAAAATAAATAAAAAGAGTTTTCCCTGTTGTGCTTGGCAATGATGGAGGGCATGAGAGCTCCCCCTCCTGGCCTTCTTACTTTATTTTAAATGTGGTTTTTGTTTACTATTTATTTTTATTATTTTTTTACTCAAACTATTACTATTTATTTTTTTTTTACTCAACTAATCCCCAATAAACGGATAGTTTCCTGTTTGTGGGTCTATGATTATTGAGGGGAAAATGGTTAATTTTGACTTAATTTCTCAAAGATTGATGTTTATAGGCTGAGAACTAACTTAAAAAACTTGCTTGCTAGCATTTAGGCTAGAATTAAGGAGCCACTCCTCCCAGTCTTGGCACTAGCTAGTTAGTTGTCACACCAGGAGAGGATTTGTGAGCATGCTTGTTCATTGCAGATGGGGACTGGGAGTTCCAGAGACTTTTGTACATACTGACCTTGCAGAGCTGAGCAATTTTCAGTCGCTTTTCTTGTCAATAACACTATTTCCCTTGTGTGCCATGGAACAGATATTAATAGGGCACACAAATTCATGGTAGAAGGCTAATGAATATGAAATGAAACCATAATATAGCCCTCTGATGGATGAGATTTCTGAACAACAGACATTATATGCACATTTGATGAAAAAAATGTAAGCGTCACACAGCATTGCAGCCCAGCCTTCTCCAACAGAGGGGACTGAATCCCAGAGAGACAGCACGTGATGTGGTAATGAGAGTGAACCTGGGTTTACTGGCTCCTCACCCAGTGTACTTCCTGCACAATACAAAATTCAGTTTATGGACGACCTAGCTATTTGTGTATAATGCTATTTTAAAATAGCATTAAAGAAATAAAATAATATTCAATCTAAATATTAGGTCTTCAATGAAGCAGAGCCCCCTGATCCTCCCATGACATTTTGAGGCAAATGGCTAAAAAAGAGGGAGCCTTCCAAATAATCATATTAATAAACTTACGTTCAAGGGAAGGAATGCAAGTGCATAACAAAGTTGTCTATTTGTTATAGGTTTAAGGGAACCTAGTAAATCTTTTGAAAACAGTGTCTTATCTGATGAAAATGAAAGATGACATAGGAGGTGGGAATCAGAATGCAGAAAACGTTAGCATTTTCCCATCGTTACAAAACTTATATAGCTTTATTCAGTTGTAAAGTAAGCAGAACATGGAATTTACCAGAAAAAAAAGTAAACAAGTCTGGTGATGCCAGCTTTTTATGCTCCAACTATTAATAAATCCAAGAGAATTAAAGGGAAGTAACTCTCCTTTAAAGGATTTATTTTCTTATGAAAACTGGAAAAAATTATGTGGCACTTCAAAAACACTAACCTATGTAAGAAACTACAGTGAAACTATACTGCTTTCATTTTTTATTTTTAAATGTTTTTATTGATATCAGAGAGGAAGGGCGAGCGGGAGAGAGATAGAAACATACCAACTACTGAGGTTAGAACCCAGAACCCAGGCATGTGCCCTGACAGGGAATCCAACCTGGTTCATGGTTCATGGCTCCATGCTCAATCGCTGACTATACTGTTTTTTTTTAAAATCTATAGATATGTCCACTTTATCTTCCTGGGATTAGAATTTTATTACAGGTTTATTTAATTTTATATGATTTTACTTGCATCTTAAAACATCTTCAGAGAATATAATTTGCTTGCCCGTTTGGCATAACTACATGCTTCTTCCTGATTTTAACAGACCTCAACCCAAGTGTCAATCAAATCATATACGCTTCCAGTGTACAATGTTATCATGCATCATCCATATATTGCATTGTGTCCTCATCACCCAAAGCGAGAACCCACGCCACGCGAGGCAAGATTAAAAAAAAACACGGCTGTGCGCATGTGCCCCGGCTGCACAGGACCGGGAACCGCAGGAGATCACTGCTCGCTGAGGCTACTGCCTTGTTACGTCAGCGAGATCCGCAAAGTTCCTGGCCAGCTCTTTGGCTGGCTTCTGGGAGCTGAATAGTAAAAGGGTGAAGGTGCAGCTATCGATCGGCTGTATTTTTTTTCTTTGCTATTTTCACTCTTTATTTTAATAAAGTCCCCAGGTAAAGGACAGCGAGTCGGGCGCTGAAAGACATCAGCGGTGGAGGGGTGAGGCAGCGGGGGCAGAAAGACCGGGAACTGGTTCCTGGAAGAGCCGGTCCCTCCTCCCCGAGAGAGGAGGCGGCGGGGCTGCTCCCGGACAGAAACCCCGTCCGCTCGCGGCTGCGCCAGGGCGGCTCGGCGGGGGCTCCAGGTGAGCGAGGAGGGAGGGAGGGAGAAAGGAGGGAGGAGGGGGGAGCGGGGCGCGGGCGTCCGGCGGGGCCGGGAGGGTGAAGGCCAATGGCCCTCGGCCTGGCCTCAGCGGGAGCGGATCTCCCGCTTTCCCGCGCGCCTCCGGCATCTCCCACCCGCTCTGACACCTGTATCCCCACCCGCCCCGCTTTCCGCGTGGACACCGGGAAGTCACCTCCTAGATCCTAAGTGTGTTGGAAACCCCGCATTGAGGACCCCGAGGTGTGTATGGGGGAAGGGTTTCTGCTGCTCCTTGTTTTTATTACCACCTGTGAGCTCTTCAACTTGGGATTTCACAGTGGCCTGAGTCTGGGGTCCCGCCTCAGCGCCCGATCCCAGATTCCTTAGAAGCCGAGATGGGTCCCCCCTCCCCACACCCCTGCCTGATGCCCGCGGTGGGCTGGCGGCTGTGGGAACCTGGGTTTCCTACCCTGACCCCGCCCCGCCCCCAGAATGTCCAGGACGTCCTCTGTCCGCTCGTGTGCGGGCTTGGTTTCCACGCCTCTTGCAAAGCCTCTTCATCCCTATCCCCCCACCCCTCCCCGCTGCACCCCAACAGCCCCCCTGGGTGTGGCTCGAGGCTCGGCTCTGGTCCCCCGGGGCCGCTGACCTGCGGATTGGAAAGGGATCCTGGACTGACCTAGGTCGCGTTCAGCCCTGGGGACCCATCCGGCTTTGCTCGTGACCGGACTCCCAGGCCGGCTCTGCTGGTGGACAGACCCGGGCGGCTGCTCCGCACGTCCGAGTGCGAATTCCTCCGGCGCGAGCGCGCGCGCGGCACTGCGGTCCCCGGGACGCAGCGGCCCCCCGCCCCCCCAGGTGGCTGCGGAGCAACCTGTTCGGGGGGCAGCCTGGGGGATGCTCCGTTTGGGGAGACGCACTCGCCAGCTGCAGTAGCGCCTCGCGGGCTCCGGGGGTTTTAATTCCGCCGGAGCTGCAGTTTGGGGTGCATTCGCTTCGGGTGTGAGCGCCGCGGTGGCGCGGAGGAGCGCGGCGGGGCGGGCTCCCGGCGGCGGGGGCCCAGCGCGCGGAGCCCCTCCCGCGGGCCCTCCGGTGCCGCAGAGTCCGCCGCGCTCCCAGCTCCCAGCCGGGTCCTTCTCGTGGAGCCCGGCACGACCTCGATCCGCCGGGACCCCGATCCCCTCGGTCCCCGCGCGCCGGGCTCACTCCCGCCTGTCTCTCTGCGCTCTTCCAGGAGGACGCCGGCCGGCGACCCGGGGCTCGGCACACCGTGCGCCTCGGCGTCCCCCGCCCGCCCGGGAGCCGGGTCTGCACCGCGGGGAACTGCGCGTCCAGATGTCACCGGTCCCCGCCTTTCAGAGTCGACGGCAGACCGCTCCTTGCTGGTGGGCGGCGGGGGAGACTGGTGCTGGATTTTAGAATCCCACACGGTGTGCAGGATGCGGATTCGTCTCGCCAGGACGCACCAGACCGAGCAGAACCGAGGACTCGCATAATCCCGGGGCCGCAATTTGCAACTTGTCTCCCCCCGGAACTTGGCGCCCAGCCTCCTTCCTGTGGGTAGGGAGCTGGGGGGCCTGGGTCCGAAGCAGCGGGCGGAGGGCGTCCGCGGACAGCCCCGCGCGCCCCGGCCATGCCGCCTCTGATGCCCTGCCCCTCGGCGCGGCCTTACGAGCGTCTGCAGGGCGGGCTGGGGCCGCTTCCCATCGCCGCTGGTCTCCCGGGCACCTCCGGCCAAGCCCGGCGGGCAAGGCTCCCCGAAGCCCAGACCTTCTGACTCCCGGCGCCCTCGATCCCGCCTCCTCCGCCCCCGCCCCCGCCCGGGGGTGGCCGTCGAGAGCCGGACCTCGCCCGCCCGGCAGGCCGGCCAGGACCATGGTGTTTCTCTCTGGGAATGCCTCCGACAGCTCCAACGGCACCCACCCGCCGCCGGCGGCCCAGGTGAACGTTTCCAAGGCCATTCTGCTCGGGGTGATCCTCGGGAGCCTCATCCTCTTCGGGGTGCTGGGGAACATCCTGGTGATCCTCTCCGTGGCCTGCCACCGGCACCTGCACTCCGTCACGCACTACTACATCGTCAACCTGGCCGTGGCCGACCTCCTGCTCACGTCCACCGTGCTGCCCTTCTCGGCCATCTTCGAGGTGCTGGGCTACTGGGCCTTCGGCAGGGTCTTCTGCAGCATCTGGGCGGCGGTGGACGTGCTGTGCTGCACGGCGTCCATCCTGGGGCTCTGCATCATCTCCATCGACCGCTACATCGGCGTGAGCTACCCGCTGCGCTACCCGACCATCGTCACCCAGAAGAGGGGGCTCCTGGCGCTGCTGTGCGTCTGGGCGCTCTCCCTAGTCATCTCCGTGGGGCCCCTGTTCGGCTGGCGGCAGCCGGCCCCGGAGGACGAGACCATCTGCCAGATCACGGAGGAGCCGGGCTACGTGCTCTTCTCGGCGCTGGGCTCCTTCTACGTGCCGCTCGCCATCATCCTGGTCATGTATTGCCGCGTCTACGTGGTGGCCCGCAGGGAGAGCCGCGGCCTCAAGGCCGGCCTCAAGACCGACAAGTCGGACTCGGAGCAGGTGACGCTCCGCATCCACCGGAAAAATGCCCCCGTGGGAGGAGGCAGGGGCATGCCCAGCGCCAGGAATAAAGCGCACTTCTCCGTGAGGCTCCTCAAGTTTTCCCGGGAGAAGAAAGCCGCCAAGACGTTGGGCATCGTGGTGGGCTGCTTCGTCCTCTGCTGGCTGCCCTTTTTCTTGGTGATGCCCATAGGTAAGTCAAATTAGCCACATCTCATCTTAGTGATGTAGGGTGTGCGCCCTCTTCTTGCTCTGCTACCTCCCTCAGCGGGGCTGGGCCAGAGGGATCTGCATTTCAAACAGCAAAGCCAGGGGGGCAGTTTGGGAAGGCTTCCTCCTTCCTGGAAAAGTGATTTTCCATTCCCTTTCTACTCCAGTCTCATTTATATTATGTCCCAGGGCACTTTTTCAAGGAAGGGGAAGTGGTTTCCGAGTGATTAACTGGCCTCTTTAATAAGAATGTCAACTTTTCTCTGCACCTTGAGGCCCTCATTCAACCTGAGTACCCCCCATCCCGTAGGCAGGATCTGTGAAATGCCCTGTCTACGTCTGCTGCGAAGGTCTGCACATTCTCTTCACCTAAACATATGCCCATGCTTATCTCGAACAAGTGTGTAATTTTATTATTAGGTTAGACTTTTCCTAAGGGTTCATTATAATGGTCTGCTTATACTACATATCTGTGTTAATTTTGTATTCTGGATTCAGTACGGAAGAGGGTATGGTGAGTCTCTGACAAGGAAAAAAAAATGGTTTTATGTCTAAATCAATTTAAGCTTTAAAGAGTTCCTCATAATGTTTCCGGTAATAAAACACTTGTCCCTTTATTTTAATAGTAAGTATTAAAGCTACCATCACTCTTATCCAAAGCATTCGGGAAGTTGCAGGAGACAGTGTTTGAAAGTAATACAGTATTGTGACAAATCCAGTTTTTGCAAATGCTAAATTGGCTGTTGTTAAAGCTAATTAGCTCGTTAGAAGTATCAGCAAGTGGGTCCACTTGGAATAGTCACTTATCACTGAAAAGGCCTTCCTGAGATCCCAAAATGGTTGTTTGCTATTTTTAGTTTGTGAGCTCAAATATAGACAGACCTACACATTGGTTATCCACTAACTCTAGCAAACAAAACAAAACAAAATGACTATAACAATTATTAAAAGCCTGTTTCCAGTGCGTTAGAGCCAAATTTAAATGGTGTGAACTTGAAAGTACTTTAATTTGCAATGCTGTAATAATAGCAGCTATAATTTTTTGAGGTCCACGTCCTTCTTAGACACTTAACAAGGCTTTTTATTGCATCAGTCCTCTCAACAATTCACAATGTGAACTATGCGTAGTTACCCTGAAGTTACCCTGGGGGAAGGGATTCTTCAGGTTCTAGAGCTTCACTCTCTAATACCATGGCCACCAGTCACATGTGGCTACTTAATGCAAATTAAAATGAAAGAAAATTAATATTCAGTTCCTCAGTCCCACTGACCACATTTTATGTGCTTGGTAGTCAATTGTGGCTAGTGGCTATTGTTTCAGGACAGCAGAAATAGAGACTATTCCATCATGGCAGAAATTTCCTCCCAACAGAGGCCCTTCTGAGTCCTCTGCCTCGCCTTCCTTTGTGTCTGTCCATCATTATTGCATATTCTGCTTCTGGAAGTACTTCACAGCTTTGAATTTATTTAAATAACACTCATTACCTGAGCCTCTGCCAGCTTGCCTACTTTTCTTTTCTTTTTAAAAATTTCTTTATTGATTAAGGTATTACATAAGGGTCCTCATCCCTCCATTATTGCCTATCTTTCTACATCTCATCTCTTACTTCCTCCAGAAGTTTGCGCATTTATTCTTGCATCCGTTCACTCAGCAAATTGTTTATTGAGCACTTGTTCTAGATGCTTAGAATGAACAAGGAGGAAAAGTCCTTGCCAGTAAGATGCTTGCATTTTTTTGGGGGGAGTTAGACACGAACATATAAAAATAGGCTAAGAATTCAGGAATATACACCTGAAATTAATATAAAATACTATTGGAAATTATCTGTAATTGAAAAACTATAAAACAGAAAGCAAGCAAGAGTAGATATATTAATATCAGACAGATCAGACTTCAGAACAAGGAAAGCCATCAGCGGTTTCCAGAGAGGAATGAGTCGGTAGGGCACAGGGGATTCTAGGGGCTGTGGCACTGGTCTGTATGACAATGTAATGTGGATACATGACATTATTCATTTGTCAGAGCTCACAGAACTATGAGACACAAAGGACGAACTCTAATGTAGACTGTGGGCTTTTGTTGATAATGATATGATAATATTGGTTCATCAGTTGTCACTCAGATGTACCAGATTAATGCAAGGTATTAGTGGTAAGGGGCACTTTATGGGGGAGTCAAAGGCTCTGTGCTCCAGACTGCAATCAGCTCCCCACCTGCCCCAGAGCCTGCAGACATGAGGTCACTTTCTATTTCAGAGCAGTTGGGGGAAACTGTTTTCTAGAACCCTTAGAAATCTTCCCCTCCCCCAGCCCAACTGGTCTTCTGGGGTTGCTGGGTATCTGTTTACCTTAGTGATGGAACCCTTGGAGTGTTCTGAGTGGCCAATTGTGGCCCACAAGACACTGGCACTTGGAGGCAGAGCTGTGAGCCCTCCCAGCCCCGGAGACCTGCTGTCTGCCACCGCCTCCACCTTCCAGCGGGTCCCGGAGCTCCTGTGCCATGCTCTGCTGGAGACTTCTGAGAGCTGGAGACATGTCCCGGGTCTCCGTTTTTCCCCGGGAGATCCCGGTCTGAGCTGTGTGCAGGTGTCTTTGGTCATAAGGAGATGGCACACTTCAGGAATGTGAGGGCACTAGGCTGAAGGTGTTCTGCCTTGATGAAATCTGTGGGAGACATCGTGAGAATATTGAACCTATGACACAAGCCCAGGACTCCCTCAGGCTGACTGCGTGGAGGCCAGGCCTTGTGCTCCTTAGCACTGAACACAGACCTGAGCAGGTTGTCACTTCAAGACAAGGTCCACTCTGCAAATGCATGGAAGAGCTGGTCTCCTAAACTTTCCCAGCTGACTTGAAAAGCCATCTCAAAAGCATCAGAAATCCATGGAGAGCAACTTCGGAAGAAAATAAAAACTTATTTAATGAAAACATCCATTTTTCAGAAAGTCCACAACTGCTCCACCAATATGAGGTGGAGTTAGTATAAGGAGCAGGAGAAAGACAGGCTGGGGCAGCTGAACACAGAAACAGAGCAGGTTCTGAAGGATAAAATCAGCCAATTAATATCAAAGGCTGAAAAACTGCCACAGGCCGTCCCTTTGCCTGATTTCCTTAGAGGTCTAAGTCACATGAAGTGGCAGGTCCAACAAAACAGGGAAGAGGAAAACCGTGATCACCCTGTTCTTTGGTCGCAAGTTGATCTGCAGGGTGTCCCTGGGACTTCAATGTGTCCCTTCAAAGTCCCGAAGAGGAACAACACAAAATAGCCAGACAACTGTGGGAAGAAAAGCAAGTGAATGAAGAGCTTCGGGACAGATAACCAATCTCCAATCTGAGGAAGAATCTTTCCAGCATGAAAATTCAAATCTAGAAAGTGACATTCAGCAGCAGAAGCTGAAGCTTCAAATTCTGCCCAAGTCAGTCATATGAAGATCACTTAACACAACTTCAGAAAAAAACGAGGAGGAAATGAGGTGCTTAGAAATGTACAAGACACTTCTCAACTTGTCTGCAGATAAATGGACTCTGCATATCAGATTTGCAACCTACAGGAAGATGGCAGAAGACCTGGGCAAGGAACTGGAGAGAAGCACTTCCTACCAAGGGAAGAAAGATGGTCTTCCATGCAAAAGGGCTTAAGAAAGCTGGAACACAGCCATGTGGGTTGAGAGAAACTTCATGGAGGTGAGGAAAGAAAATGATCGCAACAGGCAAATGCTGGCCAAGGTCAAGTCCAAGGGTCAGCCTTTCCCAAGTGGCCCTGTTGCTCCACACACAGCCCACAGAGACCCAGAAGAGTCAGGGGATCTCATGGGTCATTAGGCCACCCACGAAGGAGGAGATTATTGCAGTAAGACCTCAAGAATCCAGGGTCACCTGCAGGTTTGCCTCAGTCTCCACAGCAGCTGGGTCCTGGACATCCACAACCACTCCGAACATCTATATTGTCTTCTCTTTAAGGTTATTTTGATGATTCCATTTTTGTGTAGCTACTGTTATTTAATTGATGCTACAATTCCTCTTATTCAAGTAGATACAACATAATTTTAAGTTAATATTTTAAAATACATATTCATTAAAAAATAAAGATAACGAAGTTCATTCAATATTAAAAAAGAATTCAGGATTAATATGTACTATCTAAAATGTGAACAGAATAAGAGGCTAGGGAGTAGCAGGACAACGTGGGGGTTGTCTGGGAGATCAGGAAAGTCCTCTCTGAAATGGTGATGCTTGAGCACACACCTGATTGAAGTGAGGAGCAAGTCTGGCAAAGTCTGGAAGAAGAGCTTTCGGGGCAGAGCTAACAGCCAGTGCAGAAATTGGAAAGAACCTGACCTGTTCAAGGCTGAACAAAGAGGCCAGTGAGGCTAACTACAGACAATGCGGGGGAAGACAAGTTCAAACAGAGGCTGAAGAGATAGATGAGGTCAGAGTTCTGTGCATTTGTGAGACCAAAGTAGAATTTGCATATCATTCCAATTATGATGGGAAGCCGTTCTATTGGAGGGACTTTTAGCAGGTGAGTGGCTGGTCTCGTATTGAAAAGATCACTGGGTGGAGAGAGAACTGTTTGGAGGGAGAGTGGGAGCCAGGAGATCAGTTAGGAGGCTGTTGGAGAAGTCAAGGGGAGGGCGGTCTTGACGCCTTCACTCAGGTGAAACAAGTGGAGGTAGTGAGAGGTGATCACGTTCAGTGCTCATTTCAAAGTAGAGCTGACAAGTTTGCACATATGTACATGAGGAAAATAGAGGTCTTAAAGATAGCTTCCAGGTCTGGGGCCTCCATGACTGGGTAAATAGTGCATTTTACTGAGATTGAGAAAACTGGAGAATGACAGGGTTGTGCGGGGCTGGTAGGAGTATGGAGAATGAATGCTTATCTTGTCGAGCCCATGTTGAGAATGGTCCATTAGACTTAGAAGTAGAGTTGCCCAGTAGGCATTAGATATATGAATTGTAGTTAAGAGGAGAAGCTGTGCTA